CCCCAAAAAAACCCCAAAACCCCAAAACCCCAAAACCCCAGAAATATTCTATTATACTGATTAATAATAATTAAATGGAAAAATCAAAGAAGGAGTTTTTAAATGGGGATAAGTACAGGCTGTTGCTACTGATGATACTATACATTGTTCAAGGCATTCCAATGGGATTCTTGTTGGGCACAATGCCTATTATGCTGAAGAAGTATTACTCATACACTGATATATCCATCCTTTCGCTTTGATCATTTCCTTATAATGTAAAATTCTTGATAGCACCAATTGTTGATACAGTTTATTGCAAATGGCTAGGCCGAAGGAGGTCGTGGATCATTCCTGTCCAGCTCCTCGCAGGAGGAATAATGTTCCTCGTTGCTATGAACCTCAATACCTTGATTGAGAACTTCTCTGTCTATACAGTAACGTTTGTATTCGGAGTGATTTTCATGTGTCTAGCTATTCAAGATATTGCTGTCGATGGATGGTCAGTAACTATTGTTAAGGAAGAGAGCCTTAACTACGCTTCCACTACACAGAATATTGGGCTCTCGCTCGGATGCTTTATCTCTACTACTGTTTACCTGGCGTTCAATTCAGTATCGTTTTGAAACTCTTTTGTAAGACCATTATATATAGACTCTCGCTTTTTGAACAATGATAAAGGGATATACTCGAAGCCTATAGTCAATGAAGCTAACTTCATGATTGGTTGGGGAATTCTGACTATTTTAGCCTGCTTGTATACCCTGGCATTTCATAGTGAGAAAGATGACAGAGTCCAATCTACTGAAGAAGAGCAACTTGGAGTTTATGATACCTTTAAGTTTGCTATTAAGCTCTTAATGAACAAGTACGTTCTTTATTTGGTGTCGTTTTGGACATTGGAAAAATTATTCTCTTACTTCTCTGCACCTTCAAACCTTTATCTGCTGGATGAGAAGAAGTACGACCAAGGAAAGTATTCATTTATGGGTGGGCTAACATTCCCAGTGGAATTACTCACCACTATCTTGATTTCAAAGTATGCATATGAGAATCCATTTAAGTTGAAATATTCCATTCTGTTCATGGGAATTCTAGTTGACCTACTCTGGGTGAATGTCTGACTCTCAAATTATGATTCGATCATTGCTTATAATCCCAGGTTATTTGATTTCCTTTTGTTCATGAGCTTTCTGGTTTCCTCTATCTTGGGCACAGCTGCGTTTAACTGAGATGTAGCTTCATTCAATAAGATGTGTAATAAAGATAACGGGGGAACACACATCACAGTATTTGCATCCTTATCAAACTTATCAAGTGTTGTCCCTAGATTGTACAGTTACAAGGTCGTTGACAAATTCGGCCTGTTCATCCCAACTCTTTTGGGCAGCTTCGGTACATTGGTAGTCTTGATCCTAATCAAGCCTCTAGTCAACACTCTGAGCCAGGCTAAGAGAGAAGACTTCGATGTGGACAAAGGGTATCAAAGTCTGAAAGCTGATAAAAATGATTAGTGTGGAAATTAGATTTCAGCTCAAGTTCAATCTACCTCAACCATCCCGGGGTTTTGGGGTTTTGGGGTTTTGGGGTTTTGGGG